CCTGGCTAGGAGCTTGGGGTGTCCCTGCCTGCTTGTGGCTCACTGGTCCTGACCTTTGTCGCCCTCCACRTTGTCCCCGGCCTCCCGCCAAGAACAAGGAGAAAGTCCTCCGGCCGAGTGCCAAGCACCCACGTGTCGCACTGGGACATCCTTATCTGGCCAGGTCAGGGCACAACTGGCACCAAATAGCACCATCCATCAGTCTAGTCACGGGGGAGTCAGGTGGAGGATCCAAGAACGGTACCTGAAAACCCCGGGCCCAAAATTCTCTCTCCCCTTCCTGGGACCCGATGCCAAGTTGGAGGCCCACGTCACGTGGGTGAGGAATCCCGTGGATGACTGTGTTAAGATAMAGCCTCTCCTGCCACCTACCTCCTTGGAGGCCTTGAGTGACTTTCTGTCTGACATCGATGGGGACCAGTCTCCCTGCCCGAAGTAGGTCCCATTTAAATATATACAGGACATCAAATAAAATTCAAAGAACAATAGAGCAAGCGTGTCAATCAAAACAGAGCTGCCAGTTCTGGGGGTAAGCCGAGGAAGTGAGGGGGCCAGTGGCACCCAGGTCCATCTTCCAGGCAGGGAGAAGCTCCCGGGGCGACTCTGTCCCTTGGCCTCCAACCTGGGGTTTTGTCCCCCTTCCTATTTTCCAGGGCCGCTCAGTTGCCTCTCTGCCCTCCCCCACCCCTAGTGCTTCCCAAGCTCTGAAGTTGCAGTTACAGAAATGATAATGCGCCTGGGTCCAGCGCTCGGGGGCCGGGCCTGAGGTTCTGAATTTCCCCCAAGCAGTGTCTACGAAGTCACCTGGGGAGCTTTCTATAAGTGCGTTGGGCTGGAGATGTGGCTCAGTGCTAGAGTGCCTGCCTGGCACRTGTGAGGCCCTGGGCTCYGTCCCAGCACCAGGAAAGACAAAAACAGCATTTAGAAAACTCCCTGAGTGCTTCGGATTTGCAGTCACTGCTCCAGAGGAGGCCGTCCCTTGGAGGGGTTGGGCAYGCCTTCACACCTAGGCCTCTTATTCTGTCCTGAGAATCCTGGTGACCCTCCCTCCCCAGATGAGGACACTGAGAACCACAGGCTTTTTCTAACATTCTGGAAGGCACAGAGTCAGTAACTGGCAGCATCTGCATTTGAACCAGGCCTTTGTGACTCTGTGACACCCTCGGTACCGCCTCGGTTTCCTCATCTGTATCATAAGCAAAATGAGACAAGGCACAGGACCTATTTCCTTCCGCTGCAAGGATGACCCTGTGGCTACTTCTTGTGCTCCTGGGGAGATTTCTGGATTCCCTGGTTATTTCTATAGAGAATCACCATCTCTGACCTCGAGACGCATCACAACCTCAGCAACAATCTCCCCACTTTACAGATGAGAAAACTAGGGGGGGGCAGAGAAGGTGCATGACTTGCCCAAGGTCACACAGGGAGTATTGAGTGGGGCTCAGATTCCAACCCTGGATCCAAAAGGTAAAGAGGGCCTCGGAGTGGTCCTGGAATGAGGATCCAACTAGCTTGCAGGTCTGTGTGCTCTTGAGGGAGAGGGGTTGCTGGGGAGATGAAGGGGATGCACCCTGCCTGGGCCCTGCTTCTGCCAGGCCTGAGGAATGCTAGTCCAGCCAACATGCCCTTTGGACACATCTGGAGCCACAGCAGAGACCATTGGGTGGTTGGCTTGGTAAAGGTCCTCCCAGGGTGGGGCCCAGGAAGCCCTGACAGCTGGTGCTCCTTCTGCCGTCCAGCTGCACCTGCGAAGACCCCACCCTACCCGTGGGTCTCCAGGCCACCAGCACCCTCCTCCCCAGCTCTTGGAAACCACATTTRGTGAACTTATGCCCCCAACACCCGACTCCACCCTGGCTGCCCAAAGGGACCTTTGACTTGGGGAGGAGGGAGCAGAAGGRGTGCTATCTCCAGAGAACCAAGGCAACTGGGGTCCCCTGGGTTAGAGCCGGGGTCCAGCAGCAGCACCCAGCCCCCCCCCCCACTGCCTTATAGTCCAGGGCAGGCCTAGAACTAACCGAGGAACATCTTGGGATAGCTGGAGGGGCTGGMGAGGCCTGGCGTCCCAACCCTACAAGGGCGTCATCCCTGCATCGATCCGAGTGAGCACGGGCTGGCATTATAAATAGCAATTACACACTAGCCCAGCGCCTGCCCATGCCCGGTTCCATCTCACTGGGTCCTCCCAGCCATCCCATAAAGCAAACACTGAGTCCATGCCCTCTTACAGAGAGGGAAACTCATCCGGAGCGCTGGACAGCCTCACCAGGGAGCAGCAGAGATTCAAACGCAGGACCAAGGCGCCGGGCCYGAGGTGTGTCCAGAATCAGTCTCACCAGCCTCTACCCAGATCCTCGAGGGCAGAGCTTCGTCATAGATTTGTTTCTACATCAATTTCCGGGGGCAGGTGGTATTTTCTAAAGGCTGCCATCACAGCATCCCACATGCTTTTCAGACTCTGTGACAGTGGCACTCCTCTGTGASAATGTGGGACTTCCAAGGCCAGGGCCCATGGAAGATGATGAAGCATCAACCCTGTTCTCTCGTCTTGYTCACTCTTGGAGCTCAGCACCGGGCTACAAGGAAGCAGCAGTAGCCAGATGTGTGGGTAAGAGACTTCTAGGTGACTCCAGCCCCTGCCCCTGCCTCAATTGGGGGTGAACTGCAAGTGGCCGAGCCCAGCTGACCCCAGAAGCATGAGACAAGGTTTGGGGTGATTGGGGACACAGCTTGGATGACCTCAACACCCACACCTCCCCAGGCTCAGCCAGGACCTGGTGAACAGGTCTGAGTCACGGGTACTTCTCCAGGGTGTCTTTCATTTACAAGCACACCGAAGGCCACCCTGGCTATTCTGTTTGTCCAAACAGCACAGGCAATGAAAATAARCACCCAGATGGCAGGCCTTGACCCACTCACACGCCCTACGGGACAAGGGCTCATTTAGGGCAAGGAAGGCCTCCCACTGTGCACTGAGAGCTCCCTGCCAGGGCAAGGGGAGATCTCATTCTGCACTTCGCAGGCTTGTGTGGAGCATGGTGGGAAGACAGTGTGTGAAATCAAGCCAAGACGGACACTTGGCCTTCATCCACTGACCTCTGGGCTCTCCTGATCCTTGTTTTATGTTTTCTAAAGWCAGCTCTATGGAGACACAATTCACACAGCAAGACATACACCCTTTGAAGTGTATAAGTCTGGTGGCGGGTATCTACAGTTACGCAGCCATCACGGTAATCTCATTTTGGAACCTTTTTATCTACCCCCAAAGAAAGCCTGTATCAATAGCAAGCGCCACCCCACTCCTCCCAGGTCCWCACAATAATGAATCTGCTTTCTGTCTCTATGGATCTGTTTGTTCTGGACATTTCACCTAAATGAAATCATGGAACGCGTGGTCTGCCGTCACTGGTTCCTTTCACTTGGCGTGTTTTGGAAGCCCGTCCCTATTGCAGCCGGTGGCAGTCGTTCGTCCCTTGCCGCAGTTGAATACTATGCCACTGTCTGGCTATATGTGCCGCATTTCCTTTTCCATTCATCACTAATGCACACTGGGTTGCTCCCACAGTTGGGCTTTTGTGAATCATGCTGCTGTGGACGTTCATGCACTAGCTTGTGTGCCGAGATGTTTTCATTTCTCTTGAGAACTGCCTTGCGCCCTGGCTTTGCCAACTCCCACCGCCAAGCTGGGTGTTCTAGACTACCCCGCCTCCATCTTTGCACTTTTCATTTAGTAATACAACTGCCTGGGCCCTGGACTTGCTCCCCAGGGGTGAGCAACTTGAGAGGGACATCTGGTTCACCACTGCACACCCCAGCGCTGGGCCCTCCGGCTGCAAGAGATGCAAGAGATGCTGGGGGCCAGGAGAGCCTTCCTAGCGGACGCTGGGCTAGAGCTGGCTCTGAGAAGCCCCATGGGATGGTCAGCCCCAGATCTGGGCCTTGACAACTTCATAAGCAAGAAAGGTAAAGAGAGCTTGGAGAGAGAGAGGGTGTCCCGAGGACAGGCAGGCAGAGAACAAAGCTAAGAGCCCTGGGGTGGTTCAGTGGCTGCCCCTCTAAGGCTGCTAAGTGCCAGTGACTCAGACACGGAGGGAGGTTCGCAGGCTGCAGTGAGGCTCTGCCATTAACCCTCACCAGCCCGGAATGGAAACCCACAACCCAAGCCCAGGTCTTAACCCTCCGCAGCCCAGTCCTTGCGCCCCAGGGCAGGGTGTTGTGTGGCCTTGAGCTCCCCGCAACAGTTCTGCTCCCCCAATCTGATTAGCAGAGGCTCAGCTGTCTGTTCCCTGGTGGTTAAATTGCCCAAAGGGCCCATAAATGCCACCAAGTGATTATAAGCAGCTTAAGTGCCCAGCAACAGACTCATTTCTTAAGAACCGGTGGCTTTTCCAGAAGACAGCCTTCACAGAAGGGGAGGCCTCTGTTCCGGGCCTTAAAGACGCCAAGTTGCTCTCAGGGACTAGCCCCAAGCCCCATCCCTAACGTCTTTATCTTATCGTCTGTGTCAGACATATGTCATCTTCCCAGTCTCTGGAGGCAAGAAAACGCTATTGAAAGGGAAAAAATAAAAATGGAAGAAAACACTGCGGTCCTAGTGCTGCTCCAACAAGTCCAGAACCGTGCCCGTGCCGTCTCTCCGAGGTGCCGCGCCGCGCCGCTCGGCTCCCGGGGTCGAGGCAGCAGGCGGCGCCCTGGAGCCCCGCAGGCGCGGGGATCCCACCCCTCGATTCTCGCGTCGGAACCCCGAGCGCGGAGCGCGCCGAGCTCGGAGGTGCCTGACGCGGAGGCGCAGCAGGCCCGGGAGGGCGCGAACTCGCGGCGCCGCGATCGGCCCGGCTCCCGCCCGAAGCGATCGGACCCTCGGGTTCGGGCCTCGAGCGTTCGCGCCCCGCGCCTGCCAGGGCTCTGAGCGGGACCGCGCCCCCGCTGCGCCCGGGGGGAGCGCTCGCCCCTCCAGGAAGCGCCCGCCTCGCCTCGCGCTTCCCTCCCCGCACCCGCCCTCGGCCGGAGGGAGGAGCCCGAGCCGCCACCGCCGCCGCCGCCCGGCCGGGGAGGAGGACCGGACCCCAGCGGCCGGGAGCGCACGCGATCGGGCCACGGCCGCGCGGGCAGCGCCCTGAGCCGTCCGGCGCGCGCGGGCCCGGCGAGCAGCGCAGCGCCCGGGGATGCCCCGGCTGCCCGGGGCGCGGGCAGCGGCCGCCGCGTGTTGAGGCGGCGGCGCCCGCGGGACGCACGGTGAGTGGGGCCCCGCGGGCGAGAGCGGGCGGGACACCGTGGCGCGAGCGCTCAAGTTCGGCCTGGGGACTCGGCTCCGGCGCCCTTGGCCCGCCAAAGGGAGCCTCTTCCCCTCGGGGGCCGCGGTGCTGGGAACCCGGGCCACCAGTGTGCGCTCGGACTCCGATGCCCGGAGGCTCCGACCCGTCCACGSGGGGGCGCCCCGCCTTCTCCCCCACTGCGGGGAAGGGAGCGCGGCCGGGTGCTGGAGGACCGTGGCGCCCCGGGGACCCGAGCCCAGCTGTTTCGGGGACTCTCCTACCTCTCMCCCTCCCCCGAGGTCCTGGAGGGCGTCCGGAAGGTGGGGTCCCCCCGCCAGCCACCGTCGCAGCTGCCAAAGGCGTGAGGTCGGGCAGGCTGCCGGGCGCGCCCCTTTAGCCCACTCCAAGCCCCACCCCAGCCCTGCCCCGGGAACTGCCCCAGGGCCGGTCCCCAGCCCCGGAAGGCGAGCGAAGAGGGGGAGTGGAGCTGGGCAGCTTCCCAGAAGTCGGAGTGTGTTTGCAAACTAGTTTTTGCGCAAAAGCTGTCTGGCACCTAKGTGTTTAAAGGGTGGGGGAGGGAAAGAAAGAGGCCCTTTCTTCCTTCCCGTCCCTGCAGCGATGCTTCTTCTTCTCGGAATTTAGAGGGGTCTTACTCTCTTCTTCCTCACGCTTCCCATYTCCTTCTTCAGCGTCGCCCCTTCCGGTTCGGAAGCTCTTCTTTGGGTTGGGGGGGCTCCAGCATCAGGAGGCTGAGATCTGCCCAAGGCCACAGGTACAAGAGGAACCCAGGCTCCGGTAGCTAGTGAGGGGTCCCTCTTGCTGTCTGACTTCCCTCTTCCCTCCACCGTAGGTATTTGGGGGGAAGGAACAAGGTCTGGGGGAATTAGACCAGCTGCCCATTGTTTYATCTGCTCTCAGGTTTCCATCAGGTAGGAGTGTGGACTGTCACTTAGGGGTGGAGACCTAGTTCTGCCTCTTGGGGCATCCACAGCTTCTGTGGCCATGGCCTTACTGCCAGACAGGCTCACCTGGAAAAAGTCCCCAGCCCAGGGTCAGTCCTCTCCCTGGTGGAGGACTCTCCCCGTCTTCCCTCCTCCATCCCCTATGGAAGGCACTGGGGCTGCTGAGTCAATAATCCAGCCCCCTTCCCCTTGGAGAATATGGCCTCAGAGAGGACACAGTGTGGGCTCCATGGGAGCCACCTGGAGACTGGGTCACCCTGATCTTAGCAGGCAGGCAACAGATGGAGGGGGCGACCATCTGATCATGCCTCACTCCTCACTGTCCAGGAGGGAGGTTGTGGTGTTCCCCAGTGCCTGAGGACTGAGCCGAGTTCAGAGGTACCTTCTGGATCCCAGCTCAGTGTCCTCTGCCCTCCCAGGGCCTCCTGGCTTCAGGAGGAGGGGTCAAGGAGATTGCTGTAGTGGGTAAATGGTCGGGAGCCCTTCGCTCATGGGAAAGCAGGCATTTGGCCAGGGTTGTGATCTTTGGCAGCTGGAAACTGCCTGTGGACAGCCCCAGTGGGGGGCCACAGGAAACCTGGCTCTGAATGCTGCCCTCTGACTAGCAGCAGAACCATGGCCCCAATCCTCTGAGCGCTTGTGTCATCATCTGTAAAATGGGCTCATCACCCAGGGTCTGCCCAGAGCCTAGGCAGGAGCATAAAGGAGTGGTTTTATGTGATCCATCTGGCAGGGGGCCCAGTGAGCTCCGGGATTGCCCCCAGGCAGGTGACACAGGCTGCTGGAGTGGGAGGGGTCACCCAGGCAGATTTCTCCAAGGAGAGATGGTGGGGGTGCAAAGGATAAGGAGGCTTGGGTTCTCCTTGCCTCTGTGACTTCCTGTCTTCCTGCTCTTCACCCCCTCCTGGGGCTCTGGGGTTTTTCCATCTGTAAAATGAAGCAAAGTATGACATGATGGAATTCACAGCCTCCTGGGAGGCTGGGGCCAGGGAATGGGGGACACGTATGCAAAGTGGGGAGCACTTCATGAGCGACAAGTATGGTGTCTCAGGTGGTGTTTCAAGGGCTCCCCAACCCGGGATGCCTGGAGATTTTAAATTGAGGTGCAGAAGTGAAGAAGAGGTCGGGACGGAGCCTCAGTTTCTCTTGTCAGTTAGAAGGAGCGGATGCTGGAGACCTTCATCTTGTTTCAGAATGATGGTGTGTTTCTTTAAAGGTCCTGGTGGGATGGAGTTGGATGGTGAGGGGCCTGTGTGCCGGCACCGGCACCGTGACTGGTACGCGGCAAGCACTTGGTGACCACTAGCTATCGCGATCCTTGTTCACAGGGACATCAGTGAGCCCATCAGTGAATAACTGCATTCAGGAGCCCTCCTGGCATTCTCCAAGGCAGCCTGCTCCGCCCCAGCCCTCCCTGGAGACAGGAGCCATGCAATCCAGACACGGAGAGATCGCTGTTTATGTCTTAAAATTTTTGTTTCTCCACTTGCTGGTCCATACCTTCTTCCTCTGGGGTCTAAGATGAGACTAATTAGGATAGCACCACTGTCCCACTGTGACATCACCTTGCTTTATTTATCTTGGGGCATTTGCCACCAAGATCACCCTATTTGTTTATTTGTACCTCAGTTTATTATCCACCTCCTTCATCAAAGGGTGTCAGTTCCATTAAAAAGAACAAGGACAGGGCTATGTCCCTATACTTAGAACAGCACGTGGCACACAGTAGGTGCTCAATAAATGTTCTTGTTTTGTAGCCCCTGCTAAATGAAGTCTGTGAAGGTGGGTGAAGGAGATTGGAAGAATTATGAGCTTGCCCTCAAGTCTCTGGAGGGATCCCTGTATCACTAGGCTGAGGGCGGGGGCGGGTAAGTGGGGATCACCAAGAGCAGCGGAGTCACCCATGGCAGGGGCAGGGACAGGTGTGTGTCTGAGAGAAGGTGAGATTCAGCCTGCCCTGAAAGAATGGGGAGTAGGCATCACCTTCTGCCATTGCTTGCCCCCCCATAGGGGAGGGGTGGAGGGAGGGGTCCGAGGTGCGCTGGGGAGAGTCCCCCATTCCCTGTGTGACCTGAACTGTTTCTTGGTTAACCTCTTTGACCTCAGTTTTGCATGTAGGAAATAGGCGTCCTAAGAACAGGAAATCTCCTTTCCGCCTGCAGTCACCCATTTCCTGTTCAGCAGGTCTGGGTCAGAGACTGTGCTGTATATGCTGGTGACAATCATGGTCAAGGCAGATTCAGCCCCTGAGCTCCGGAGCTTGGAGTTGGGGGTGGGGGACCGAGATGAGCAAATTACCCAAAAAAAAAGGGTCATAAAGAGTCAAAGAGTCGTAAAGACAGTGACTGCCATAGGGCGGCGCWGCGGCCGTGAGGGAGGCCTCTCAGGGAGGCAGTGACCTTTGAGCTGAGATGTTAAAGGACTGGAACCCACAGGAGCAGGGCATTGGTCTCTGCCGTGGCTGCATCCCAGCTGTACCTGGGGCAGGTAGGTGCTCAGTGGATGTCTTTGAATGGACGAAAAAAGAACAAAGGCCCAGGATGGAGGAGACAGCCCAGGCAGAGGCCCTGGGGTGGGGACGTGGAGCATTCAAGGAGCCCATTCTCCCCACAATTCCGCTGTCTCCCTGGATGGCTCTTGTGGCTGACCAGGAGCTAGGGACATCTGGCCTGCCCAATGTGTCTTGCTGTCTGTCTCCAAGACACAGGGGAGAGCGTGCTCAGCTCCCTGCAGATGCCCCCCCCCCCCCCGGGCCGGACAGTCTTTCAGGCCATGTCCCTGGGACCAGCCCCAGAGGGTGCTGACAGCAGAGCACGGGCTGCGGGGTGGCCGCCCGACTCTGGTTTTCAGGGACTGTAGAGCTTGAACCAACAGATATCGTTCTCTCCAGTGCTGGAAGCTGCAGCTGGACATGGAGCCAGGCTCCGGGGGGCCCTCCCCACGTGCTGCAGGCCCTGGTAGGCTTGAGCGTCCCTTGGCATGTGGCACGTGGCATGTGGCACGTGGCATGTGGTATCGCAGCTCCAGCCTCTGCCTCCTCCTTCACATGGCCATCTTCCCTTGCACCTTCACATTGTCCTCTTCTAAGGTCATCAGTCACATGGGATTCAGGGCCACCCCACTGCAGAATGACCTCATCTTCACTAATTACATCTGAGACTCCCATATTCCCCACTAAGTTCACATTCCAGGTGTGGGGGCATCTGCGGGGGGCACGGTCCAGCCTATAATAGGTGGGTTATGAAACTTCTGTGTCTTTGTTCTCTGATTTATAAAATGGAGATAGTGGCAGGGCCCATCTCCCGAGGTAACGGGGAGACCCACGCCCTTCGAACAGGACCAGGTGTGCAGAGGCATCCGTCAGTGCTGAGTCCCGTCTCCAGGAGCGGGAGAAGCTGGCAGTGCCCTCTCCACAAGGCCTGGCCCGAGGAGGGCCTGGGCCTGAGGTTGGGCTGCTTCCCTGGGTGGCRGCCTCTTGCCTGGTGCTGGGCTCAGAGCCCCACCACTGGCTGGCCGAGGATGTGGGGCTCTTTGGCATGCCAGGATGTGGGGTGGGCAGCCTGAGGGCACTGAGTACAAGGAGCCATGGAAAAGATGGCAGGGGCCTCCTCTCCTGAGGGATGTACCCAGTGCACAGCCACCGCAGGGGCCTGCGGAGGAATTCTGGGGCTGAACGAGTCCCGATGGCTTTCCAGGCCCRGGAGCTCGGAGATTCTGGGTGGAACTTGGGACTAGAAGCCCAGAGCAGCCCACAGAGGACAAGGGGCWTCTGTAGCCCCAGCCGCAAGGCTAGAATGAGCAGGGAGATGGAGACACCCAGGAGAAGGAGCCTGCCTGGGTTCACCCTGGGGATTAGGAGCCTCCTGGCACCTACTGCCCCGTGGCACTCCTCTGGGGGTGGGGGCGGGGGACACCACAGGGAGGACTCTGGGGCTGTGTCCCGATCTCTGACCCTCTCCAAAGCTCCCTTTGAGAGAAGCCACATTTGAATAACTTAGGCCCTGTGGTCACCAACCCT